TAAATAAATAAATAAATAAATAAATAAAAATAAATGCTCCAAGTCACCTATGGCCAACAGCTCCTCCTGTTTTATGGTCACACAATAACAGGATGAGATACGGAAACTGACTATTATTACAATTCCGGTTTTTCACTCTGCATGGGTCACGGCTAAACACAAACACAGCAAACAACTTTAATAACAGGCTAAAGAAACGAAATAAAGCATCCTTGCAATAGTAGGGCCACTGGAAACAAACAGTAAAGTCAGCAGTCTCCCCTCCAGTCACAGCACACACCCTGCCTGCAGGTTTGTTTATTAACTGAGGCAGCTTAGTGTCTAGACAGACACCCTCTCTCCTCACAACTCCTTTTAACTCCTGAACAGATCATTGATCATTTTTCTCCCACAGTAATGTCTCTCACAGCACAGTTTAGTGCCTTTTGTCTCAATGCGAACATCTTACGTTGCGGGAACTAAGACAGGATTGTTATCGATCTGATGCAATTCCACAAAGTTGGCTGTTTAGGAGGGCTTTGGACGATAAATTGACCGGTGTCAGCGTKCGACTTGGCAACGTCGCTTAATTTCTCAGAAACTGTTTCTTAAGTGACTTTCTAATTCCATATTTCATGCTGTGTGTGTACTTCTTTTTCAGTTAGTTTCAAAATCTTTCGCAATCTTTATTTTGATTTATTTTTTGTCCTTGCAAAAAGAAGCATTCTGAGTAAGCAACACCCTGTATTTTCCTGGTATTTTTTTTACTGTGTACTCTATAAAATACATTCTGAAAAGTTACTGTGCTTTCTAACATTAAGTGGCTGCATGGCAATGATTCATGACCTCTGATTCASATTCAGTGAATCATAACATAAACCTATGCGGCCTATTTTGCATTAAAATGTCTTTTAACAGCTTTAAATAAATAATTATGTCTTATGTTAAAATAAAACATGTCTACATTATTAATAAGACTACAGTAAGAAACTCAAAATAGCAAAACAGAAAATTGTGAAAGACATAATAAAATGCTTTTATTTCTTATTATTTCGATTTGACTGTGGCTATTACTGCAGTCTGACGAGAAAGACAGAAACAGCYGTTGTAACACAACAAATACCTGACTGGGTGAAGCCAGGCATGACGTTTCTGCTGCTACAACCTCACAAGAACACAACATGAAGCCTTATCTATCAAGTATATGTGATTAAAGAACAAACAAAATGGTGGGATGATGTAAAAATGTCTTGAGTTACACAAAAAGTAATGTCAGCATCTTCTCCTTACCATAAAGATGAAATGATAAAAGTTTTGCAGTCATTTGCTTTTTATTTATTTATTTATCTTTTGTCTGAACATTTTGTCTCTTTGCATCAATTTATCTTCAGTAAAACCTCACTATGCATTGCTGCGGGTCGACCTCGAACGATTTGAAACAACGAGGTCATCGCAATCCTGCACCGTGAGGAGGAAATAAGAGCTGATCCGAGCCGAGACCACAGCCCAACCTTGRAACTAGCTTAGTCAACTTTGCACCAACGCCGTCCTTGCTCCGTTTGAACTCGTGGCAATGTCAAAAAGTGCAGGGACTYTGTCACGCCGTGACTCAAGCAGCCTTTCATACCAGCTGCCCCGTGGCTCTCGGGTCAACGTTCAGCTGGGGGGGTCTGCTCACAAGGCCCACACACGCTCTGCACGTTTGGGTTCGGGTGTCGAGATTATAAACGTGAATGTGGTTTAATGATATGCTCACATTTTAAAAAATGTAAAACACTCATGAGATACTAATATGAAATCAAACATTTTTAAAAAATCCCTAAAGTCAGACGAAAAACTATCGGAGGTCGTGCTTTTTTTCTTTCGTGCCCCCTTATTGTGGAATGATGTCCCTCAAGACATCAGGCTGGCCTGCTCCGTGGAAGTTTTGAAAGCTAAGCTAAAGACCCACCTGTACGCTTTGTCTTATGTGTCTTAAATTTTACATTTGTATTTTATTATTTTTCAATGTTTTACTTCTTCTTACAACCTTTTTTAATGTTGATCAGTGTTGTAT